ATAAAATAAATGAAAAGGACTAATTAATTAATTTTTGAAACTAGAGAAATTAGCTATTTATTTTATGAAAAGGACTAATTTTGTTTTCTTCTATATTATGTTAAATTAAGTCATCAATCTTTATTAATTTGTATGGAAATACATCTATCGCTCTATGTTCATTTATTTTTGCAGTTGCACTAAAGGCGCCTCCAAAAGGAGGTAAAGATTAGAAAAGGTTTCAAGACTTTATATTCCAAAGGATGTACGCTTATGAACTGTGGTAGGAAACACTACTTTTTTCCGTCCAAAAAAATCATTTTGTTTTTTATTTTTATTTATCTAAAAAAGATTGTTTGATCAAAATATTTAAATTATATGTTTTAATACAATATTCCTAATTAAAATTCATTTGTTAGGAATTTATAATTAAAATCAGTAGTTATAAAAAGATTATACAAATAAAAAATATATTAATTAATGATAATGTTAAAATACGTAAAATCAGTTATTTTTATGATCATCGTTATTGTTTTCTTGAATAATAAAATATCAAAACGTTGTTGTTGTGATATTTTAAATAATGATCAACTCGAATTGATTGATACATATAATGATAATTGAAAAAACTAAGTCAATTTTATCTAAAAAATAATAATTTGAGATTGAAAATATATGATTTGATATTAAAAATTAAAAATTATCAAATTATTATAGAATATAAGCAAAATTTTTCATTAAATCCGAAAAAATCTTTTTAATACACGGAGTATGAAAAACGTGGGAAACGAGGGGGAAATGGGAATTGCATTCCCAATGCGCAAACGACCGTATATTCTTTTGCGCCTAAAATTGTTAATCGTGAACGTCTCAAGTTCTTTTTCTTCCAATGAATAGTCAATCTGCATGTAACGCTAAGGAGCACAAGCAATAATTTTTTCTTTATTTATTTATTAATACTTTTCTATGCGCTATCCTGAATAATAATTTTCTGCTACTCAACATATGGCGATGCCTTGGACTATCCACGTATTGTACAATGCTCATTGTTTCTCAAATTTATTAAAAATCCAAACCACTCATCTGTAGTAAATTGGTAAATTTCCTTATAGACAAATATCCTATTTGGGTGATTAAAAAAAAAAAAAAAAAAAGAGTTCCCTTGACTTAAAAATGGAGGTCAAGTAGGGCTAACCATACATGAACTTGAGAGAATTTTGAAGAAAATAATTAAAGCTATATTATTTTAACTATATGTTTAAGACATTTGTCCGAATCTTATCTTAACAAAAAGAATAACTGATTACATCTAAATGATTGAAAATGATTATTATAAGATTAAAAATTATTATTACAAGATTATAATCATTTGTGAGAAAATTAAAATTAATCAATTCATTAATAAATACATTATTTTCTCAATACTATTCATTTACAACTAAATCTATAATTTGTGACTATTTTTAATCGGTTGTAATATTTTGTTGGTAATTGTATTCAATAATTAGTTATAAATTATTTGAACATCAATCTTTTGAAACCAAATGAATAATTATCTACAAATGATAACTAATAATTTATAAAATAATTTTGTAGACTAAATCAACTCGTTCAATAAAAAAAAAGAACTCTTAATTGAGTTATCAAAATAACAATTCTAAGATTACTTAGAAATTTATTTACTAAATGTAAATATTGACTTGATTTTATCCCAAGTAATTTGATGAATTAGTTTGATGGTTAAAAATATATATTTTACTTTTTGATTTTTTGAATTTAAATATTAGAGTCAATATTTATAAAAATTTATTAAATTTTTTGAAATGCATCTTATATTATGAAATTGTGAATATGTCTTATTGAAGTTTCTTCAAAACTCATTAATGTAATAATTAAAGTTTATTTTTGTATTTCAATTTTCTATATCAATTAAACATTAGAATATATTTTTCAATAGTTTTTGCATATAATTATCAAATGTCAAAAAAATATTTTTTTGAAAAGTAACTTCTCAAGAAATGATTTTCCTATGAAAGTTATTTTTCGTTAAACAAATAGAGCCTAAACTTTAAGGCCATTATCCAACTCCAAACAGAATGGGGGCCTCGCCTCAAAGCAAGGCAAAAATCGAGCATCAAAGTGAGCATATAGATAAATGAAAAATAATTTACACGAAAAACAATTGCGTAAGAAATATGTACATGAAATATATTATCATATGTTTGGTAAGTAATAATATGAAAAATGTGAGGACAAAGGGGACAAAGGGGACATAGGCTATGCATTGGAGGAGGTGGTGGTGATCAAGAGTATATCCATGTATAAAGACTTGATATGTAGTTTTTTTATTAAAAAATGCATATTCGTTAATAAAACTTCTCGATGTAGTACCTGCTTCATGCCATGTTAATTCACATTAATTTTTTATATATAAAAAAATGAACATGTAAAGATCTGTTTGCAAAACTATTTTAACATTGGAAGCCGAAATATTTTTCCAAAAAAAGTTGAGGACCAAAAAATTCTACTTTGATGACTTATTTGTAAAAAAAAATACACTATTTAATTAAAGGAGCGATGTAATTTTTCCCAAAACATGACTAAAATGAAAATTTGGATAAATTATTTAATAGGTATTAGGAATGGGATGAGTTTCGAAGGTAATTAGCAACATGGACTAGAAATTTTTTATAATGGGTTAGACATGGAATTAGTTTAATAAACTTGATAACCACGGCCCACCCATTACCAATGAAAAGGCGCTCTTTAAGGAAATCTAGGGTTCATGATTATGTAAATTCTGATCTTAAGGCGAGGAAAATGAGCGATTCACGAAGTGGCGGATGAAAGAGCTAAAATATCTCTCCCAAAATCCCAAAAAAACCAACCTGCAGGCTACAGGAGGTCAACCAACAATAGGCATATGGCTGATGGAAATAGTCGATCCACATTGTTTGGTTGGTCAAGCAAACGACAGGCCAACGAGGATTTGGCCGGTTAATGATATTTTAAGAAGATGACCTGTCATGTTTTAAATCTTATTATTAATTTTAAATTTAATGAATTTAACTAAGTGAAAAAAAATAAAATTAATACTATTATTATCATATAAAAAATCATATTTATTTAATTTGAATTTAATAATTTAAATTTAATGAAAATAACGATCACGTTCTCAAAAACACGTATAAAAAAAAATGTCAATCTAACCGATAAATCTGAATTCTTAAATATGCATGACAGAACAAATCATTATCATTTTTCATCCTTGATGTGATTATTTGAAGGAATATGCTTAAAAGATCCTAATGGTTGGAATTTGAATTCTAATCAACATTCTCTAACTCTTGTTGACTAAAAATGAACTTATTTATTGTCTATATTTTTAAAACTTTATATTTTTCTTATAAGTGCACTTTCTAATTTTTGTTGAAAATCTGTTAGTTAATCGATAGACATTTAGATGATTTTGGTAAAAATAATATAAAAATATCAAATAATTGCAGAAAAGATGATAAATGCAAGGAATAGATGAGCAAAATGCTTATTTGGTGTTCAAAAGGTTGATTATGAAAAATCATTCGTTTCACTGCAACACCATTTTGTTTCAGTATCAGTAGGAGAAATCAAGCACAATACGCCGTTTCCCTTCACAATTAAGCATTTCTTTTATTTTGTGATTTGTCAAAAATATATTGATGAATAAATGGCATGACTTCTTTCTTTTTTAAAAAAAAGATATTCTACAAAAAATTGACACTTGCCTGTATTATTTTCAAAAAAAAAATAAAAAAAATAGCGAAAGTGTAATGACAATTGAATGCAATTAATACTTACTAGCTTCATTTTAAACAGGGGTATTTTTGGATTTTAATTTTTTTGATAGAAAAGTAGACTCCTTTGATCTTAAAGCGGAAATTGTAATTTTTGAAAAATACAAAGTGCAAAGTGTAATGATGCCACAATAGAAGGTGGTGAAGTTTCGCACCAAAAACTAAACACTATTAAGATGCATCAAGTATTTTGTACAAAATAAATTATATAAACAATTGAAAAAAAACTCCTAAGAGGAACACACGACCATTCTAATTGAGCTACAGTATCCCTAATTATGGTTAGCAAAATTTCATATATATTCATTATAACTAATACTTATAATCTATCATAATAATTTGGTTAATTAATGTTAAATAATTTATTTGAATGTAAATATATTAAATTAAGAGGAGGAAAATGAAAAAAAAAAACGACATTAGGTACCATACGGCTAAATGGCTCTCTAAATTTCGCAAAATCTCCATTAAATTTTAGACTCGAAAGGAAGCTGTCACATAAAAAAAAAAAAAGAAAAAAGAAAAAAAGGGTTTGCCAGAACTTTGTGTAACATGTATTAAAACAACATTTAAGCACATAAATGAAAGGTAATTCTAAAATCCAACCTATCATATGGCACTTAAATATTTCTCTTAATCCAACAAAAATAATTATTCAAAATGTTAAACATTTGTTTATAAGTTATGCAATAAAAACATCAATTCTTAACGAAATTATATACTTCATTAATTTGAATTTAATTTGTTCTAATTCGATTTTTTTTTACTTGAAGCAAATAATTATTATATAATTTTTTTTGAAGATATATATATATATATATAAAAGGTAACGTAATATTTTTATTTTTAGATCAGTTTTCGCGTTAACCAAATATTAGAACATGTTTATTTTTTTATTATTCATGAATAATTAAAAATCGAACCTTTGTCTACAATGAAAACTAAAACAATTTTTTTACTACTAAATCATCTCTCTTTCTGGTGTTGAGGCAATGCACAGATAAAAGATGCATAATCTAAAATTTAAAAACCATTAGAAAAATTAAAGTGGCCAGCAAAGAAGAAAGATTGTTGGGAGACACTTTCAGCTCTAGCTTTATTTCATCGATATATACACAGATACTAAACGCAAGTAGTTTATTACTGCAAGTAGACTAAGCGCAAACCTACTCCCTTAGAGCAAAGAGGTTAGGTGGGTGCAGCTAAAGGAGGATGGAGAGGAGGTCCATGGAAGAAACCAGGAGGACCTGGTCTGTTGTAGTCAATTTCATGTTGGACGTCTTCGTTTTGATTTTCTTCTCCAGCATCCCAAAGAAATTTAGCATATGAAGCGAGGACATAGCTGAAATAAGGAAAAGCGAAAATTAAGACAGTAATTAATTTTATTAAGGAGATACACCATGCATGTTTACTATGATTACAAGCTAGAAACACGATCAATACGAGTAGTCCTGGCTTACCAATCGTCCGAGGCAGTTTTAACAGCTTGATCAAAGTAAGTCTCAGCTCTTCGGGGATCCTTCTGTGTTTGCCAAATTAGATCGGCATAAAGTGACAACACGTTTCCATCACTTGGATTTGCCAAAATTGCTCTCTCACAAAACTCCTCTGCTTTAGCAACATCTCCTTTAACCTGTTTAAAATAAATTTAAAAAGATCATCAGCAGTTGTAAAATCAAAGTAAATGATCTCCTTCATCTGGGAATTACAGAGGAGGAGGAGGAGAAACCAATATGTCAACAAAAGTTTGCAAATTGGCTTTTCCTTTTTTCTCTGTTTTTCTTTATTTTTTCTTCTTTTTTTTCCCCTCAAATCTCTCTGCTCTTTCTTTATGCCATTATACTGAGATTAAGTTCACTTCTTCAACCGAGTAAAAACAGATCCTTTCTGTCTAGATCAAAAGGTTCAAATTTTACTGTCATGACTTTGGTACGACGTTTTGTCGAAAAACCATCTTTAGTCCAAAATTTAAATCGTCGGATGAAACTTAAAAAATGGTTTTACATTAATTCAAAAGTTAGCAGTATCTTTATACCTCTTTCAAGAACTTGGCATAGTTTCCGAGTAGAAGTGCATTGCCAGGGTTTGCTTCAATCATCTTCTGATAATAAAAATCAGTACTGTCATTCCCATAGAACCCAGAGCCAACATCACCACCATCTGATCCTTTCCCGCCAGCACCACCACCGCCCGCATCTCCTACTCCACCACCCACCACTAATGTCTGTGTCCCACACCCGATATCATTCACTACTCCCTCTCCCAACCCAGAACTTGAAAACAATACTCTTGATGAACTGGACGGTTCCTCTTCTTCATGATCATCGTTATTGTTTTCTTTAATTGATGGTTGTTTGCTGATGCTGTGGGTTGGTATCTTAGTTGTGCTCTTCTTAGTTTTTTGAAGATAACTGGCTCGCGTTGTTATTTTCTTTGTAGAGTGATCATCAGTGGGAGATGGTTGACAGTGAAGAGAGGTAGATACCACCAAGGAGGTGGATTTTGTTCTCTGGAGGTCTGGCTCTGGCAAGGAGTCTATTGAGTGAGGAAGCCATGAGTTCAGGATTGGTGTTGACGAGCTCCTTAGGATCATGTCTATATCTGGTGAATTTATATATATTTTTACGAGAAAACGGCCCTTGAAAAAGAGCAGAGATGTTTAAAACTAAAAGAGCCTTCCAGAGGCAAAATTATATTTATGTTCCTTTTCATTTTCCAAGGACAGGATCTTTTAGAGCAGATTAGGCTTCGGCAAGGAGGAAAACTAGGGGCGCCGAAAGGGTAATATATATAGAGGTGTAGGAAAACACCAAAATCAACTTTTCTATGCCGTGGTAAGTGATTTTTATTTTTTAACTGACGGCTAATTCGGTTAATAGGAAAAAAGTTTTTAATTTTTTAATTTGAGTCCTTAATCTTTTTACAGTTTGTAATTAAGTCTTTTTGTTATATTATCAATCCCATCTTACATTGGAAACACATAAAAAATATTTAGAGTTATAAAATAACGAGACGCTTTTTGTATTTAGAGTTTTTAAAAAATTTATCTTATTTTAACAACTTCTTATGTCTTTTTTGTCATTTGAAATTGATAACCAAATGTAAGAATTTAACTACAAATCCAAAATGAATGAGAACCTAAATAAATAAAAGATTAGAAATTTTTTTTTACCAATAGCTTTTTATATTTCACCTACCTATCAATAAGATCCTTCCGTTTATTTAGATCATGAATACTTCAACGATTTTTTTTTACTTTTTTTATTGATTAAAATTCATATTAACTATATTTTTTCAAAAAAATTTCTTATTTCTACATTGAAATTACTTTTGAAAATAAATATTTGGATAGAAATTGATACAAATCATTTACTTCAAAGAGTAAAATGAAATTAACTGTAAAAAAAAAAAGATGAATGACGTATTCGGATTTTTTTTTTTTGACAATAAGAATATTTTGGATTAATTTTTATGTCAATCAAAGATTGATTTTTTTATTATAGATGATTTTAATAATGTAATTCATATCCACTTCGTACATTCACATGAATAAATTTATTGATATACTATTATTCACAAAAGAATGAGACAATTGTCTCATAGTAATATATCATTTTGTGTTGTTCATTTATTTGTTTCTACACTTATCATGCCTTTATTTATACCACAAATCTCAATCTTGATTGATAGTAATATTTTTCTGATAAAAAAGACAAAAGAATCTGACAGTAATCTGCTTCCCAATTGCTGTCCGAAGTACAACAAGCTCACACGTTGACTTACGTCACGTGACATGGGACCCACCACCGGCTCTATCTTCCCCCGAATAAATAAATAAATAAAATTGAACGGCCAAAACGGGCCCAAATTTATTTTGTCAGGTCGCAGGTGACATCACCGTTATCTTCGCCTGCTCGTCACCTGGCGACAAAAGAGTAAATTATAGATTAGTCCCTCTAGTTTTGAAAAAAATTAAATAGTTCCTTTTATTTTAAAACTAATTATTTAATCTTTTAATTAGTATTAATCATGCTTTATTAATATTATTTTATTTTAAAAATTATTTTTTTATCTAAATTTCCATGATATATTTTTAAAAAAATTTTTAAAAAAAAGAAACATAAAATAAACAAAAAAATTAATTTTTGAAACAATAAACACTAATTAATTCATTTCTTAAAACTATAGGAACTAATTTATAAGTTAATCAATTACCAAAAGCTTGTTGACACGTTTGAAGATAGAAGGACGAAAAGAGGGAAAAGATTTGACAGAGAAAGCTACCTACAAAAACCTGGTGCCTCGGAATGCGATAGCAGGTGGGATTGATGTAGAAATTAGGGTTATCATCATGATAGCCTGTAAGCAGTTTTGATATGCATCCAATAAAAAACACACTAAAGTACTAAATATCTAGAAAAGGAAATGCAATACAGACAGCACATGAAAACTTACCATTTTCTGTCTCATCAAATCCATTTCATTTCAGGGTTTGCTAGTTTCCAAAAAAAAGGTTTGTACTGTTTACAGTTTCTGCTTGTTTTGAAAACATATTAAAAAAAAAAAATTGTTAAAAAAATAATACAAAACTAATTACCACTATCATAATTTTTGAAAATCACTCTAATTAGTTTTGAAAAATATTCGACAACCAATTATTAGCTTTTTTATATTTTTAAAAATAGAAAACAAAAAGAAATGGATTGTCGATTTTTATTTTCAAAAAACATAAATGATACCAAACCCTCTCTTAAGTTTTATAGAATTAAAACACAAATTGAATTAAAATGGCATTGCTGACCATAACTATTCATTCTAATTTCTAAACTTTCATTCCAGATTGTTCTGCAAGTAAAATAATAATAATTATTGTCATAAAAGTAATTATGGTAAACACCAGCTCATGAACCCGAAAAGTCCAAAAACCCGAGCAGCGCCCCCCCCCCCCTCCCGACCCCAAAAGTCCAATCATAATTATTGGGCTGTAATTTTCTAAATCAAATTGCAGAGCTCTTTCGCTTCAGCATCATATGCCCTATGTTCAGAGTTCTGACAAGAGATTATTGTATATTTGACTCCTTGATTAGCACGACAAATTAATATAGCGGCCAACAGTTTTCAGACCACCAAGCATGAGATCACAATCATTGGAAACTACTGATGTTTCCTTCAGAATAAAATTTAGCGGGGGGTCCTTTAGAATAGACAAGCAGTAGTCAGTAAAGACTGATAAGTTACCTTTATCTCTTATAAGCTTTAACTGTCGTGTCATAAAAATTTTTATACATATGAATTTAAAAATAATTTAACATGAATTATTAAAAAAAAAACGTGATTAAGTTTTCGCACTGTAAAACCAGACTTCCTCTCTTTTGAATTTGAAGAGAAAGCTAGAAAATTAGGGTTTTTATCTTAATAGCAAAAAATCTAATAGCAATTTGAAGAGAAGCTATTCATTCTAATTTCTCAGTTTTCATTCCATGTTTTTTCTGCAAGTAAAATAATAATAATTATTGTCATAAAAGTATTATGGTAAACACAGCTCATGAACCAGCTCTACCCAAAAACCCAAGCAGCCGCCGCCCCACACCAAAAGTCCATTCATAATTGTTGATCTCTAATTTTCGAAATCAAATTGTAGAGCTCTTTCGCTCCAGCATCACATGCCCTATGTTCAGCTCTGAGGTCTGACAAGAGATTATTGTTTATTTGACTCTCGAGTCCTTGATCAGCACGACAAATTAACCCAGTGACCAAGAGTTTTCAGCCCACCAAGCATGAGATCGCAGTCATTGGAAACTACTGATGTTTCTGTAGTTCACTCAAAACTTTTCGTGGTTGGTCACCAGCAAGGACAAAACAAACAAAAGATCAAAACCAAGAGATATGAAAAATCAGACATTCCACCTCTTCCTCGAATTTCACCGTAGGGGTCCTTGAGAATAAAATTAACATTATAACCCTATATCATCTATTCAAATATCAGTTTATAACTATCATACTTGAGATCTCTTGGGGTTTTTCTTTCCCAGGAAAAAACCTGCTAACGATATGTAATACTATTTTCCCTTTCAATCGTTGATAACTAAGGTTGACAAGTGGATTTACTTCCCTCATTATCATCTAAAGGTTTGAATCCAAGGATAGGCCAAAAAACAGTTGAGGTGAGAATAGATTTGATATCGGAGGACACTTATCTTCTCTAAACGTTAGAACCAAACACCAGGACCATAAAAGCATTCTAACCCAAATACTTTTTACTAGAGCCCCAGCCACGTAAAAAACTGCAGCTAAAAGCTGTAACTAACACCAAAGAGAGCCTGAAGGTAGGGAGCAATCCAAGTGATATGTAGTATACGATAAATGTCCACCTGCCCTGAGAAAATGTAATTGATATTAACAAAGACCAAATTTCATGGTTAACCTTCCATGGCTACGATATTACAAACTATTACAATACTCCCAATTATTCTGGAGCCATGCCATTTCTGTTTGGATCAATTTTGCAGTAAGGTTTTTATCCCTAGTTCGGGATCCTACAAAATTGACCAAAATAGGCCAGCATCTCTGTTGGCTCTTCTTAATAAAAATTTCCTCGTCTTCCCAAAAAAAAAAAAAAACCCTTAACAACGAAGTGAGCTCCTACTGGCGCAATTATAACAAACCGATCATTTGCAAAATCTACCTCCACCAAAAACTAATCTCTAGAAAAGAAAATTATGGAGACAAGGATGATAAATGGAATCAGCAGGAAGCCCCTACAGTCCACAGTGATCTCAACAAAAGATAATTATCAAAGAGAAGTTTACATCTGTCTAGGCAGATAACCATAGTTTTAAATTGTGGGAGCGGTTGCAATCGCAGATCACAATTTATTGTAGTAGTAAAATAATGGTTACGGCCGTTATATAATGCCGAATAATGATAATGGGATGTCCCGAAGCCGTTATATAACGGTTATTACATCACGTAATGACTGTTATGCAGAGAACCCTGTTCAAAGAGCTGCTAATGCTAAATTGTTAATAGATTGAGAACCTAGTCATGCAAATGTTTGTAAATCATAATTAGAAATAATTTTAGGTCATATCTACCTGAATATATGTATCCCATTAACAACCCAAATGCACAAATGATGGTGTAAATTTCATGAAAAGTGAAAATTATTCTGGCATCGCAAGTTTCGGCAGGGAAAGCTCAAATCCCACTCAAAGCACATACAGCACAACAACAGCAGCTAGTTCCTCTGTTTTATACTCTCCCAGAACAGAAAGAAACACCACATAGTATCACAGAAACAGCTCTTACAACAGAAGAAAACTCTTCCTCCCATGAGTTTATTTCTGAACGTAAAATATGAGCATTTCATTTCAAATTGCTTTATTCGGTATTTCCTAACAGAAGAAACGGAAATGAATGGAGAGAAGGATATAATCATATGATAAACACCTATACCGACAAATGATGATTTTAGCAATGTATAATCTACTACTACTCCTGTAAGACTCTTACATATATACAAGAAAAATGCTTACAAAATCATTTCCTAAATCGAGATCTCTTGTTTGATCTACCTCTACCATTATTCTTTCCGTCCCATACAGAAGCCCAGAAGAACAAAGACATCCAAAAAAGAACAGCTAAGAAGATCTGAACACGATCCTGCAATTGAGAGAGAGTTGCTGCAACACCTGCAATGGGATAAATTTCTTAAGATCCCAAGCAAATAAATAGAACTAACTGACTAAATTATTACTTTCTTCTCTAAAGTGATAACAGAATATAATTATTACCAACAAAGCATCGATAACGAGAGTATTAAGCAGGGTGAAACATGCCAACCCCCCAAAACACATCACCACCAAACAACGACTTCAGGGACAAGCTCTAGGGAACCACAAGTGGCACATGGTCTCATGAGATGGATAAACCTAACGCATAGTGTGGGTAAAACATCGGAAGTGCTAATCATAATAACTCCAGATGGTAATGCTTGAACGGAACTATCTTATACAGTCTACCAAGCTGCAAAGTTTTGTTACAATCATACTATTCTCAAAGGCAAGGAAGGCATTTCAGGATTGTGTCCAAATTCTCCATCTATAAAACACCCTACTTCAGATTTTCCTGTTCCGAAAATCCTACTGGTCTTCAGCTAACAACAGTTCGTGCAAACCGCAAAAATCATTTGGAAACTCCATTTGCGAAAGTAGAAGTAATCTCATACGGGTTTAATCAAACAGTGATCCTTATTCCCAGACAGACCCATAAAGCTGCTACATGCCTTCAATTATTTTGACTAAACATTACACCACATATGCCCAGCTAAAAAAAAAGAGAGATTATTTTCACTTAAGAACGGATAATCTATCATTAAATTTAAGCTCAAAATAAATAACTCACAAGCTTAAAATTCACAACTTTATCTAATAATAATATGGTTTGATTGAGAATCCGAACCTTGTGGGTCTTTTTCGGGAGGAGGGTCGGACTGAGGTGGCGGTGGGGGAGATAACGCGGCGTGGCAAGGGCGGACCCGTGTGCTGGAAGTCGTGCAGAGCGGCGAAGGAGGAGGTAATAGACGTAGGGGAGGATGGACGGACGAAGGGAGAGAGGAGGAATTTTCGGTGTTGAAAGTTGGAAATGGTTGTGGCTTCAGGTATGTCACTGTTGGAGAGAAAATAGCCATTTGAGAGAAAAGAAAAGAAAATTTGGAAACTGCAGAAAAGCAACTCCCGTTTTTGCCTCTTATTATTATTATTTCTGTCTTAAAATATTTTCATTATTTTTTCGGTCTTTCCGGATCATGATATTTGGTGGAGGAGTACTGGAGTTCGGCAAGCGACTGTTTGGGCTGAAATAGAAATGGATTTCTGAGCCGAATTTTATTGGGCTTTGACCTAAAGTTTATAATCTCTCAGATTTGTTTTCTACTTTTTAGTTTTTCTTTCCATGCAATTTTGGGAGTTTTTTTCTTTCTTGTTTTCTTATTGTTCAGGGTATCATTGAAGTTGGATTTTTTATCATCGAAATTGAAACTCATTTTAGTCGGATGTTGAACAAAACATTCATATCCAGATTCATACATTTCATTATTTCAATTACATTAGAAAAAGGGAAGAGAGAATTCACACAAAAATACAATAGGAGATGTCTCCTGGACTGATTCAGTGAAGAGGAGGAAAGAAGGGAAAATAAGACACCAAAACGGCACCATAGAGCTCACTTCGAAGGGGGGAAAATAACAAAACAAGACATCTACTGGATGTCAATCTCTTTGACATCCTTTTTAGACTTCTCAGTTCTTGGAATAGTAACGTAGAGCAAACCATCCTTCAGCTCGGCCTTAATTTCATCAGCTTTAGCATCATCAGGCAACATGATGCTAGTATTATAATATCCATAGCTCCTCTTTGACCAGTACTCGTCGTCTGATCCTTCTTCCTCCTCGTCCTTGTGCTCTCCCTTTATTGTCAAGACCCCATCATCAATGGTGATCTTCAAATCCTCTTTCGATACACCCGGAACCTCGAACCTTAATTTGTAGCATTCATCTTTCTCTTTAAGACGGCCTATGAGGTTGGAGGGTGACAGAGTCTCCAAGTTTTGGAACAGCCTGTTAATGTTATCAGTTGCTTGCAAGAGTGCATTTCCTAGACCTGAGGGAAAGAACTCTGCGGTGGAGAGAGTTCAGGCAAAGGTAAAATGTATCAGAAAACTTTAAAAAGTTAAAAGCTCTGTAATATAAAGTAGAGAGAGACCGAAGGTACCATAAAGTGCAGGGACAAAATCACTTCCATCACTCTTCCTCCAAAGGCCCCTCCTGCCTTTCTTCCTGGAAAACGGCTTAGACTTCTTCTCACTACCCTTGCCGACAGCAACTTCTTTCTCACCAGCCACTTTCTCACTCGTTGTTGTCATGAACCTCTTCAACAACCCATCATGGTTGCAGCATTGCCTTCGAGCCCCACCAAGAACACCAAGGGTACTACTACTACCCTCACTAACTCCATGACTCACCCAAGGAGAAGCAGAGGAGCTCGTCCTTTGGGACAAATTCCTCAAGGCCAAACGTGCCAAAGCCATTGAGATTTAAGAAGAACGAGAAAGTCCCCAAGGAAGAGACAGATTGTTGCTGTTACTTGAGATTTGTTGTTGCTGAAGTTGGAGGAAAACGATGAAGAATTTAAAGTTAGTGGTGGGGTTGTGGTTGAGTGGATTATGACAGTTTGAGAAGTGTCTAACATGTTCTGGGAGGTGATGACACATCAGTCAAAAGGGATTTACATGTAGAGCACGAGAGACTGCTCCCGGGTGTTTCTAGATTAGTAGTGGTACTACGTATTTCTTAAAGGCAAGAGAGTTCCAGATAACAGGGCATCTGATGCCAAAGTCTTTTACTGTCTGTTTTGTCACCTTTTTTCTCTTCCCATATCTGTCGTCACTATATAAATACTGTCCAAAACGACTAGAAAGTCCTAAGTACAGAAACGGTCCATCAAACGATTGGGTCCAACCATTGTGGCTTTGGTAGGCTATTTAAAAAACCCAGTAATGATTGAGAATTACTTCTGTAAACTTTGGACGTGCCGATAATAACTAAACTCATTTATAGTTTAATTAGCAATTTACAAAACCCAACAACGATTCAGAGTTACTTTCGTCGGATTGATGTCTCAACCTCCTAATTAATCATATTTGATTCGTAACAGATAGAAGCCATTCGGTTGACAAAAAAAGGAACCAGAGAGGAGACTAATTTGGCAAGGGCAATTTTCCAAAAACATTGTGGAAAATGCCAAACGATTGGATGTAAATTGTGATTTTAGACCACAGAAGGTATGATTGGTCATGATACTTACAAAGACAAAGTGCTTGATAATTGTTGTTCTACTTTTAAAACATTTAAAAGCCAAAAACAACAAACTTCAAAGGATTAAAATGCACATTTAAAAGCAAAACACAATATACTTTGATGGATTGAAACTGTTGTTTCTTTCTAATCGAATAGTGTGAGTGTGACCCACTAATTTCTCGAGGAAAAAAAAACATTATTTAAAAAAAAAAAAAAACACACACAACGCCATACCAGAAGTACACCACACCAAACAAGCCCAAAACCACTGTTTTTCAAGGCCATTTCTCGGGGGCAAAAATATGTAACTTGAGCCACCTAGGAGCTCGTCGTCATAAAAGTTATCATTTGAGGGGAAGTTTTATACCCACGAGAAACTCTTTATGAAGCCAGTTTATGGACAAAAGACGTGGTAAGTTTGTTCAAATTATTGGTAAGAGTTAATGGAAATGGGAGACATTGTCCTTACTTTGGTATTCAACACTCACTTGCAAATGTTCCAACACCATCAGTTGGTAACTTGAAAAATAAAAATCCGAGTCAAAGAATTGAAACTAACTATGCATGGCAATATTAGGCAGTATAGTAAGAAACTCAAGAAACTAGCAAAATTAGCGACCAGTAAAAGCAGTGGCAGCCAGTCTTTCTCAATTAATTTCAGTGCAATACAAAAGGGAAGTCTAAAAATGCCTGTGGATGGAAATCAAAGCTTGGGTTGGCATATGACAGACAATGTTACAGTTGATATGCACACCAACTTTTGCTTGATGACACTTCAAATGCTACAAGAATTGAGAGGGTATTTGATTCTAACCAACCTTCAAATCTCTGAACTTCTGCTTAATCATACATACCCTCCTGTTCCCAAATGTCCACAAGAAAATCCACCATTTCCTGTCAAATATGATACCAATGAGCAATAAGCGAAGCATGGGTTTAAGCCATCGGCTGGCTGGTGGGAGAAAGAAAGATGCTTACAGACAGTGGAATAGGCTGGGGAAACGGTTTGTTGCTCCCAAGTAAACTTTCATATGTCACGTTCCAACTGCAGCGAAGTCAGAATATTTTAACCATGCATAAACAATGAGTGCTGACAAGATAACCACCAACACATGAAAGATCAATGCTTGTTTATAAGACAACAAAGTAGCCATTCCAATAATGTTTCTCCACATTTACATACAATGGTTGAAAGCCTAGATCATGGTTTTGTAAAGTTAAAATTTAGCGTCCCAACAATCTTGTCGTTTGAACTGAAAAATAACACTCCCAATTGTTTCAAAAACAAGGAATTATCAGGCACTAGGCAAGAATCATTAGATTGAAGGCGTCAAATCAATTCTTTTTTTCATCAGGTCTCCACTAAGAAGTAAGAAAAGCCCACCATCCAAAGAAGGACAGAAATTTATTGCACTCTGTTTCAGACAAAGATTGATTCCACATAACTCTTCTTTTATGATGTTCTTGGTATTTTGGAAAATCGTCATGATAGGCTGAAAGCAATTCAACCCAATAATCATCAAAAACTGTGTCCTTGTCATTTCTAACTAGTTTTTCAGAGTTTGACACCGTTCAGGGGGCTGTAAGAACAAAACCAAACCCATTCCAAAATCCAAATTTTAAATAGAAAATGTTGAAAATTTCCCTCTAGATTAATTCTCAACTCTCATTTCTTCATTGAAAAAAGTGGTCAAATCAGGATCTCAGAGCAGAGAACGTTACATTTTAATTAAATTGAAACCATATGAAAAAACGGTGGCAGGGGGTGGGTTACTTGCAACAAATACAAATAGGTATTTAAAAATTGATTGCGGCATGTGTTAGGTTCATATAAATCTAACAAAACTGGAAAATGCAAGAGCTGCTCACTTTAATTTGGGTTCTTGAGACAGCTGAGCCTGGTTCCCAGACCTTTTATTTCCCACCCAACGATGTCTTGTTTGATTCCAAAGAAGAAGACCTGTAATCAAAAGTTCAGGTATATAAATTTAGCATTGGTGCAACCACATACAGATGGGGAAGTGCACATAAGTATCGAGTGCAGACTGCCATTAGCAAACACAGAATACTACCCTACCAAGTTTACATGCAAATTGTTAAAAAATAGCCTATTAAATCAAATTTATGAGGCCAGCTTATAGGAAAATGAAAGAGTGGAATGGATAGGCAAATGAGATGGGTACAGGTGGAGGATGGTGTGGCTGGATGACACTTACTACTGTTGATTTTATTTTCCATATTCTAAGTCTTACCAACTTCTGAAATAGCTACTGTTGTTGCTTACTAGTTCTCATATAGGTCAGATATTAAAATGTAATGGTAGCTAGGTTCATTCCAAAAAAGCATCAGGGGCCATCATCAAATTCAAAATGCCCAAAGCTGTCAGAAGTATGGAGATGCCCATATGATTAAATGCAAAAAAGTAACCAAATAAGCCATGAGAACTTGCCATGATTTACAAATTCAGAAAGGTTGTTAGCACTGCCAGAGCCACCATGTGGATCAAGGGTTTGGTTAGCCATGCTGATTGATGAGATGCTTCCTTGTGACTGCACTGCGCTGTTATCCATATCACACGTGCTGGTGGTCCAGAAATCCTCTGATATGATAGGTTTCTTCACAGTCTCGCCTTTAACGTTTGGTCCTTTTGATTGCTCACCCACGGAGGTAATTACCGTGGGTTTATTATAGCAACTAAGACAACCACTGTTCTGTAACAAATCACATGCAGTCATATAACTGATCAAATCCAGAGAAAGAAGCATAAATATGGCAATACAATGCATCTATGGAGACAAGATACATATACAACCACAATGATTCAGAGAATCACAAACCAGAAGACAAAATTACAGCATATAAGTAGACAGTACATACATGTAACATGGAAAAATACACATGAGAAACATTGGGATCTTTTAGGAATCAAAGTTCTTGCCTATGACGTATCACAATGTAGACATCAAAGGATACTAAACATACCAATAAAGCACTTAATGTGGGCACTAAAAGGTAAGGTACAAAGTACAAACCCTTCATACGTCTTTCCTTGAGATTACATTCCTATACAACAATAAAAGCTGTGTTCTAAAATTTGAAGGGATTGAACTGCACACAAAATATAATAAAATACCATACGTAAAACCCTGATGATTATATCATACCATTAAAAATAAATAAATAAACAAAACCACCATTTCAAGCGCTTCTTTCACAGCTAAAATATTTTGAAACCAGAAAGAAAAGTGAATGGCAGCTCATCAGTTTGTCAAACCAGTCCTTTTGTAGAGTGAATTTAAAAATGAATAGAAACAAGAAGACAGAGAATACTGATCACAGGGACATGATCGTTGGAAGGACAGCACTTAATAAAAGTAGAAAATGTGAAAAAGGTGGGGAGCAAGAGAGGGAAGTTACAAGGGCAGGAGGATTCCACAAGACCTTATGTTTCAGCATCATTTAACCACAAAATCATTTATATTATTGTTGATTGTATATGGTGTTCAAAACATGGAATTACCAGCTATGTTATAAGAGAACTAAACATCACACTTTTAACTTCCTAACATGCTTTCCTAGATTCATGAATGGTCACTCAGTTTTCGTCATTGTAGGATGCACCAAACATAAAAACCTGTACTGTGTCATAGGATTGTGCATGTTGTTAATGCCAAACTACAAACAAGGTTTGTATATTGTCTTATCCATGCAAACTGCAGGGAGCTGTCTCAATTTTAAGATAATAACATAAACGCCCAAGCACACTTCAAGATAAATAAGAAATTATTTGAAAAAAAAAAAAAAATCTATCAGGTCTCCACTATAGGAGATGCTCTTAATTTTAGCACCCATTCAAATATTAATCCTGAGCTATCAATTTCCAGATGTTTATGCAATTGCTTCCCTGAGGCAGATCAGATTAAAGTGCTTTTTTTTTTTTCCAGTGTGCCCAGTTCTAGCAATAACAGCATTTTCATACAGCAGCCCAAGAGTGGGTTACTGTGCCAGAATACAGACAAATTGCATTGCTGTTCTGCCAAGCGGACCACAACACCAGCAATATTTGACTATCAGCCTGAAGCTAAAATGATGCACCGGCAAAGGTTGGATTGACAGCAGAAGAAAAGGTAGACAATCTTATCAGGCTTCAAATGTTTTGTAAGTGAAAAAAAAAAAATTGCCATCTAAAACCATGAGGTAGCAAATTTGTCAATTATCCTCACTCAGCCAAACTAGCTGCTGCTTAATGGAAGCGTATCACAGATACACTAAGAGAACCTAGCAAACTCCTGGGCAGCAGTTGATCTCCTAAGCAAGACATTTAAGTTGTTCACCATGTTATCTAAATTGCTCCTGCAGGTGGAGCATACTAAGTTTGCAAGGGTGAAGAAAATTCAGTGTAAAAACCAAAGAATCGCATTGGAGAAAAAAAATAACAATATTTTCATGATTGCAGGCAGTCCAATTCAAAGAACTTCCGATTCTTCCAATGAAGTACTTAAATTGTCAAGCAACCCAAAAGAGGGGAAACCCAAAATTATTTTTTTGCCTTAAATGTCAGCACACTGATTTCTTAAGCAGATACGCACTCACTGTAAGAACTCAACTTATTCCTTCACTTCGAGATATTCAACATGTTTCAAGTCAATAAGTGATAAACATTTTTACATCTACCTAAATTTTACAATTATGGAAACTCATTGCTACAGTGATGAAAAGATAGCATGATTTATTCTTTACAAGTTTAAACCTCAAGCTCTAATGGAAGCAAAAACCATATATGAGGGACCTAAAACATCGAATCATGATTGTGAACCTACAACATTCAAGTTCACTACTATCTTTATCCGATTGCTGCATAAAGCAATAAAATCTCAATATTGTAACTTGATCTTCTTGCACTGATTATTTATTCTCTCAAAATAAACCAAAAGAAAACGTAAAAATAAAAATAAAAATCGGATGATAATAAACTAAAATCCAAGAAAAATAAATCTATGAAGACCCGTTCCCTATTATTTCAAACATATTTCTAGATAAACAAAAAAAAATCCCAATAATCAAAAGGAGTGATTCTTCTTTCTACCAGTTTTCTCAGCGACCCAAAAAGGAGCAAAAGCAGAATTCAACTCACAACAAAGCAATAATAAAACCCCAAAAGGGAAATCAAAGAAAAGAATCCAGAAAACATACCCCATGCATGCAGTGTGATGAATAAGCTCTGATAGATCAGCAGAAGTATGTGTATTAGCAGGGAAAAGCAAAAGCCAATTAATTTGCAATGGAGTAAGATCCGATATCAATGTGATGGCCCTTGGAGAGAGAGGGGGAGAGAGAGGGGAGCAAAAATAAAATAAAGGAGAAGCTTACAGTAAATCATGCTTAGTCCCCGTAGTAAAACACAATCAGTCGATTAGTCCTTATCGTTTAGGAAATTATATATTTAATCACTACTTTTTTAAACAGTATTCCATCAATGCCTTTTTTTCAGAAAATTATAAATTAGTCCCTCTTTCTTAAAAAAATGAATTAATTAGTCTCTTTGGTTTCAAAAACTAATTATTTAGTCTTTTTTACTATTTTTTAATTTATTTTAATTTTTTCTTTCAAAATTAGAAAATAAACAAATAAGTATAAATATAAAAAAAATTGATAAGAAAAGAAAATATTTTATAAAAAAAAATTAAATTAGTCATGATTAATGCTAACTAAAAAAATAAATAATTAGTTTTTGAAAGTAAAGAGACTAATTAATTTGTTTTTTTAAACAAAAGGGACTAATTAAAATTTACTTGTGTTCCTTTTCAATTATTATTATTATTATTTTGATGAATTGGAAAAGAAAAAGAAGTAGATAATGTTAGTACTACTTAAAAAGGTTTTTTAATGAATATTTATCTATTGGAACATGTGGAAATTAGAGTTTGGAAAGCGTTTTGAGTATTTTGTGAATCTATTTTATAATGCTAAAGAAATAATTAGCACATATATGTTATATTTACTTCACATGTCCACTCTTGAGGAGATAGATAGATATATAAAAAAATAGAGAATCACATCCTAATCCACTAATATTGATAAGAAAATTTTGACCCTTGCTTAATTTTTTATTATTCTCTCTTTTCTATTTCTTAAATATAAAAGATGAAACTAATTCTTTACTCGTTCGATTAGACGTACAAAACAAATATAGTTATTCAATAAGTTTTTTATATATATAAATATTAAAATTCACAACACTTGTTTAAAAGATTAAATCTCTTTTTACTCAAATCAATTATTTTGAGTATTACATTATAATTTCTTACATTCTACCAAACATATGCCATAAATGATAAAGTTTGTCTCTTTAACTAGTTTAATTTGTGTGAGGGAAACATATATCCACACCTCCCACGATATTTACCCCCCCCCCCCCCAAAAAAAAAAAAAAAAAAAATCAATGAAGAAAATCCAATCGAAAGACACGGAAATGTGATTGTCTAGTAGGCTGGTCAAATTTGCCGGCGGCTTTACGTCGTCGTTCACCCAAAAGAACTACAATAATTGACGGTTATTAAAGATTCTCTGGTTCCTTCTCTCCTCCCCAACTTGTACGTATGAAATTAATACATGTAATGTGGTCCCTTTTTTTTTTTTTTTACATTATCCACTGTTTTGTTATCTTGTTCCGTTTTTTAATTAATAGTCCTTTTGCTGTAAAAAATGAATTAATTAGTCCTTCTAGTTTCATATATATGAGCTGAAATTAGTTTACAGAATTGATCCTCTAGTTTAATAGAAAGAGCATGTCTGTGGTGGCGGTGAATCTTAATTGTTAAACCGCGCACTATATATGAGTTTAGAACATCGCATGGAGCTTTGAAGTTGACTCGGTGTTAAGCAAGCAATTCTAACCCAAACCCGAACCCGAACCCGAACCCAAACCCAAATAAAAAATTTGTCAAGCGTCTAGCTCGCTCAACGCGGAGATATAACACCGAGGCAATAATTTATTGATTGTATATTTATAAATCGTTTGACATCGAGCTAACAATTTATTGATCATATATTTATGATTTTAGCAAGATTTGCTGCCAATTACATAATCATTAGCTTTGATTTATCATCAAATAATAATTGGACAAAGTCCAAGAACAAGGTCTAATCACGAGCAACGTGCAAAATACGTTTTTAAAAGACTTAATCCAGCTTAATCCTGTTTAGCTCCCATCCAGCACAAAAAAAATAAAAATAAATAAATAACTAAATAAACCTCTAAACTTAATCTAGCTCGTTTAATGTCGAGTTAACAATTTATTGGCCGTATATACGAGTTATTTAACATTAAGTCAATAATTTATTGATGATATATTTATGAATCGTTTAACACTAAGCTAACAATTTGTTGACTATATATTTATCATTTTAGCAAGGTTTGCTACCAATTACATAATCATTAGCCTTGATTTATCATCAAATAATAATTGGACAAAGTCCAAGAACAAGGTCTAATCACGAGCAACGTGCAAAATACATTTTTAAAAGACTTAATCCAACTCAATCCCGTTGAGCTCCCATCCAACACAAAAAAAAATAATAATAATAATAAATAACTAAATAAACCTCTAAACTTAATCTAGCTCGTTTAATGTCGAGTTAACAATTTGTTGACCATATATACGAGTTATTTAACACTAAGTCAACAATTTATTGATTATATATTTATGAATCGTTTAACACTAAGCTAACAATT